GCTGTTGTTCGGTAGAGCGCGCTTCCCCCGGTCCTTCCCTCGGACCAAGTTTGCGCGGCTCACACATGATGCAGGCGGGCCGCGTCGCCGCGCTGAGGTCCGCGTAAAGGCCGTGCGTAAAAACGCTCCCCGGCCACGGCTTGACGTGCCGAGAGTCTGAATCGTGGTCACCAGGCCCCGCTTCCCGCCTGCCTGGGTTTAATTCACGAGTCGCTCTCCTCTCTCGGTGTGTTTGGAGGAGCGAAGGGAGAATCAATCAAGTATTCATCACAAGCTAGCGAATTTTCCGCGCTCTCGTTCGGCTATCGGCTGCGACTCATCGGACCAGGCGACCGGCCGCGGTGCCCTGCAGACTTGGAACGCCCCATGGGTGCGAGAGAGACAGAGCGACGGAATCAAAACAACTCTCGGAATGAGTCTGTCGGCTGGCCGTTGCACCGGCTTGCTTGGCGCTCGCCGCTTTTATCATTACTCTAGCGGTTTATCGCCGCTGCTTTCTCTGTCGAGGCGGATTTGCCTCTTTTTCTTTCCTGTCCTCTCTCTTTTTCAATTGCGCTTTGGCGGCGCCCGGAGTGGCCGTGGGAAAAGGGGAAAAAGGAGCGCGCCCGGTCATTTGCATACCCCGCGACGCTACCCTGGCTGCCCCGCCCCGCCACGCCCCGCCACGCCCCGCCCCGCCACGCCACGCCCCGCCACGCCCCGCCACGCTGCGTGACGCAGAGCGTTTCAAAGACAGAGCCGCCCTCGCCGCGATGCCACTGGGACCGCCCCGCCCCGCCGCGCCCCGGGCCCCCGGGGTCCACCGCGACGCCGTCCTGGCCACGCCGTGGCCCTCTGCCGCTCGACTCCACCGCACTGATGAAATTCCAAGAAGCACCTGTCTCGCAATTAACACAGAGAAAGGACCCTCGCAGTTTTACTCCAGAGGCTTTGTGTTCTGTTCCGGTCGGTCGGGCTGCAAGTGCCGGAGAAAGTAATTTTCGTACCGCCGCACACTGAGCGGCGGAACGGTGGGGCCTGCCAGTGGCTGAGAGCGAGCGGTGTAAGTGTAGTGAGTCTACCACCGAGTTTGCCAGTGAGGAGACTTTTTGCAGCCTTTAAGGGCGTTTACCGGGTTTGGGCCCCAGTGTCTTGGGGCGGAGTTGAAAAAATGGCGTCTTGTTCAAACCGTAGCAGCACTGTACCATCCGGGTGGGGTTAGCCAAACCGAGCCTGGTCGGCCAAGGCGGTCGGCCTGCGGAGACCCTGGAGACCCAGACCCAACCTCGGCCCTGGCGCGCCGCACAGTGCCGTGCCTTACCCCCGTGGGCCGTGGGCCGTGCGCCGTGCCCGGGCCGTATGCCGTGTGCATGCGGTTTGCGTCAAGTTGCCGCGTGTGTGTTTCCCGGTCTCCCTGTCTTTCCCCGCCCCGGGCCAGCCTCCTTTGTGCGGCGCGGCGCTACACTGCGAGGGGGAAGCGAGGCGAGTTGGCTGCCGGAAGGTTTGTACCTTGAGTGCGTTTCGCGCCGCGGCCGCGCCTTCCTTATTGAAGGCTGACTCTGCGGACCCTTTTCCCTTTGCCCGGCTCGGCTTGGCCCGGCTAGAGCGGCAGCGGGGCCATTAGCAAGTTTGGCTAAAAGATCAAACTGAGCCTTTGCCGCCCCGCCCCGCCCCGCCCCGCGGCCCGGTATAACAAAGTTGTCACTTTGCGCGCGCGGGCCCGAGGAGGCAGGTTGGCAGGCACGACCTATTCCGGTGGGCCGCGGGGTGCGCGGTGCCGTACGGTGCCGTGCGCGCTCGCCCGGAAAACGGCTCACTGCTTTGCCCGGTCGCTGGGTTCAGGCTGTTGAGGCTGCACGACCTGCACATCCTGGCCGCGCCACACGCCAATGCGCACCCACCTGCTATTTGCACACACACACACGCACGCGCCCCCTACCCGCTCACAAACACACACGCGCGCGCGCGCGCGCGCGCGCACACACACACACACACACACACACACACACACACACACACACACACACACACACACACACACACACGACACACACGCACGCGAGGGAGTGATGGCCTTGCTAAGGGCGCGGCGCGGCGGGGTGCGGTCGAACGCACCGGCTTAATGGGACCGCTAGTGCGCGGGGCGGGGCGGGGTCGGCGGGGCCCGCGCGCCTTTTGAAGCTCCGGTTTCCACCCAGGACACACGCGGCGCGCGGCCTGGCGAGGCCTACACGATAGCGGTGTGGGCTTTGTGCTGGCCGAGGCGGGGCCGGCGGGCTCGGCCTCCAGGCCTGTCCCGTCCGAGGCCTTGCGTTGAATGGGCGGCTCACCGCCACGACCGCGGCGCCCCGGACGGCCTCGGCCACCGCGGCCCCTCTCCCCGCCGGCCTTGCCGGCCTTGCCGGCCTTGCCGGCCCAGACCCACTCGATCCCTACGTCGCGTTGAGTGCGGGGTCAGATGTAACTTGACGAACCGTTGTCGGCAAGGGCGGAGAGCGGCCTGAGGGACGCAGAGCGATTCCGAGCAGTAGTTCGTGGCTTTGTCTCTGTCGCACCCCGACGCCGGGCGGCTCATGATACGTGCCACGGAGAAACGCAGTCTGCCAAGCAGCCGCTCCACTGGTCGGCGTGCCGGGTCACTGCCAAGGGTCAAAGCACAATTAGATGAAGGGCGCCTTGGCCTGCCCTGCCCTGCCCTCCGCTCATGGGCTCGCGGAATAATTCAACAGCCTCTCCCGGCGCGCGGCGCGAAGCGCGAAGCGGTGCAAAGACTGCCAAGTGCCAAGGGCGCCAAGAGTTTGTTTTCATTCCTCTCCGCCGTTCCGTCTTTTTTGGTGTTTAAATCTTGCGTCGTCTCTGCCTTTGCTTTTCCGCCCTTTCCCACCGAGAGGGTCGCGCCTGCCTGCCAGCCAGCCCGCCTGCCTGCCTGCCTGCCTCCCTGGACGGGGGCGAGGCGGAGGTGGCCCCCGATGCGAAAAGGATCAGGCAAAGGGCTCCTGTAATCCGGTCCGGAAAATTGGGTGATGTTGATTGCCCACCTGGGCCTTGGCATCGGGTGCACGGGCGCGCCCGCACTCCCACGCACGCTCTCTCACTCACTCACTTTCTAGCTTTCTCTCACTCTCTCGTCACTCCCTCCCTTTGTCGGTCTCTCACTCCTCTCACTCTGTCACTTTCTCACTGTCACTCTCTTAAAGGGTCTTGCTATGTGTCCCTGTGACGCGCGCGCATACGTACACAGACACACAAACACAGACACACACTCACGCACACACGTCCATAATGACGTCACCTCCGGCGCCGAGGCACCTCGACGTCACCCTCGTCTCCCGACGACGCCAGGCGACGCCAGGCGACGCCCCCCGGCCGTAATGCGCGTGCCGAAATAGGGGCGCGGGGCGTCGGGGCGCGTCCAAGATGGCCCACTTTAGGGGCGTCACGGTGCCGATTCGCCGATTCGGGCCGGCGCGTTTATGGCTGTGGGGGGGACACGACGAGCCTCCCCGGCCTGGACGAGCCCCGAGGAACCTCCTCGCTGCGCGGACTGACGACGCCAGCGACGCCCCTGCACCCCACTTCCTGCTCGTCCACGACCACGCCGTCAAGGCGCCTGGGAGGCGGAACGAGCGCCGCGGCTTTTACTTTTACGGAAAACAAGCAAAGCCCCACCTGCCCCTCCCCTGCCCCTCCCCCTCCCCCCTCCCCCAAGGGGGGTTGCGGGTGTCGTGCCGGCCTGCTCTGAACCCTGCGGGCGTCGCCGTCTCCATCGTCATCGTCGTCATGAAATACTTATCGGCACGAGGCGCCTAATGCTCGCACCGAGGCCGCCTCCGGGGCGCTCCGGGGCCGGTGGGCTGTCCACCGTGAATTATTGGTCGCTCGGCTCCCCGGCTGCCCCCGGCCGCCCCTTGAGGGCGAGTCGTAGTGATGGCGGCCTGGCCGGGCCTGGCTGCTCGTCGAACGACGCGGCGCCCCGCCATTCACTGACGACGATCAGAGACAATCAACTCGGGTGACGTCACGCTCAGCAGGCGACCTGTTTGCACCCACCCCCAGCACGCGCTATCCACAGACACGCACACTGGTGCCGGGCACGCCGACGCACAGCTGACTGCGGGCAAACGCGATGTAAACAAAAGAAAACAAAACAGGAGGTTTTTGCACCGTAAGCCCCCTTGAACGCGTCACGTTTGACAGCTCGTCGGCGGCATCCGGGCCCGACGCGGGTCGAGGGCCCTGCCCTGTCATTCCGTTGCAAGGAGAGTCAAATTTGGCAGTGCCGTTGTCTCTCGCATTTCGGTCTAACAAGTCTGCGGCTTGCGCATCCCCCCGCCTCGCCGCCCGGACGGCTGCCCCGTTTCGGCCCCTTGCGCCGCGAATAGCCCGCTACCCTGACGGCCTGACAGCACGTGGACAATAATTGATTTTTCCTCCGCTTTGGCTGGCATCGCCTTTTCTCTGTTGGCATCTACTTCATTTTCGGTGCGGTGGCGAAAGAGTGGCGACTACCGCAGGCACCAGGCGGGCACGCGCTGCCTGGCTAATGAAATCCACCTTGCAGAGACTCCCTTCATTATGCGGCAAAGGTTGCGCGGGGCCAAGCAGAGCGCGCGGGCAGCGCGCCTTGAAAAGAACTGCGTTTTTCATTCTTTTTGTTTTTTCAAATATTTGCGTGACCCCAGGCTTGAATGGAACCCACGCAGCAGGTTTGTATGAATTACGAAGAGGGTTCTATGGGGTTGCACCTGGTTGTTGTAAGCGTCTATTGAATTGCCTCAGAGTTCCGTGAGGTGACAACCCGCTGCGTGGGCATGCTGGACCACCGAGAAACCCCTCCGGATTCGAGCTCCAGGAAATGTCTTGAATTGATTCTGACGTCACATCCTTCCTTCCTGTTTCAGGGCATGCCACGATGGCCGGCTGAGCGACCGCTTGCACGCTGCCCTCGCAGTGCCCCGCCCGCCGCCGCCCGCCGCGGCCCGGCTGACCCCTGTTGGGCGGCCCGGTGGGGCCCGTTGGGCCCCCTGCGGGGCATGTGAGCGATGGCTGGTGGCCCTGGGGCCTAGACCTGCCAGGGGCCAGCCGGGGGCCAGCCGGGACGTGCACTAGGCGGTGCTAGGCGGTGCGAGAGAGACGCGACATGGGGAACCACCAGTCCGGCAGGGTACAGCGCAGCTTCAGCGAAGGGGAGGACGGTGAGTACCACTTTTGTCGTTGTCGGTGTTACTGTTGTTGATGCCTTGTTGTTGTTGTTGTTGGCGGTTCAACTTGGTGGTCCACAAACATGCTATTCGCCGCGCCATGCGCTCTTCCCCAAGGGCTTGAAGCGAAAGCTCCTCAGCACATTGTCGTGTCTCTAGCTAATTTTATAGTTGGAACCAAATTAAATTGCGCGGCCTGAAGTGGGCTGCAATTTTAATGTTAATCCTTGTCGATCGGAATTTCAATCGATTCAGAACCTTAAGGTTCTCGCTCACTCATCAATTTTTTTTCAAAATATTTTTTTAACGTGGAACTTTAATGTGTAAATCCCAGCAGTCGTCTTTTTGTTGCCACAAGCCGCGACTTCCCCAATGATGACCCCTACGAACAGGAAAGAAAGGCTCCATCCGCAACAACTTGCCCGCGGGGCTGGAAAGGGAGGAGGGAGCAGTAATTAGCCCAGTCTTGCCGCCGCGCTGTGGTCTCGCCTCGGTCCCGCCTTGGTCTCGCGCAGCTCAAGTGAGTCGGCCAGTGGGTTGGAAAAGGAGAGGGGGGGGGGGGTGCACCGCCTGGGTGGGGCAAGCTCCGGGCAAGCTGCGTGGCAGTGGGGGTTAAAAGTCGCTGTTTCTCCTCGATCGCCGCGAACTGCTTGTCGAGCACGAAGATCGACCGGACAGTTTTGCTGGCGGGGCGGCCTGCCCTGCTGCCTGCTCTGCTGCCCTGCCTGCCCCGGAGCATCGATTTGCCTCCTTTCTTTCCCGTTTCCTGCGGCCCAGAAGTCGAGGGCTCTGGAGGAGCAGGATGGGCGGTCATGTAATGAACGTGCTTAATTAGCTCCCAGGCCCTCCTCCAAGGGTCTCCAGGGGCGCCTCCAGGGGCCAGCAAGGCCAGCAAGGCCCTCCGTGGGTGGTGCTGGGGCCGCGCCGGCAGAGGTTCGCCCGTCACACATTATGTTTTCTCGGAGCCGAAGCTGTGAAAGATGTGTGATTGCCGCAGTGCTTTGCTGTGTGGCGGGGGGCGCGTTCCCCCGGAGATGGCACCGTCCGTGCGCCGCCGCGCCGCTGTCGGCTCCTGGACCGGACAGATAAATATCTGTCGCGACCGGGCGGCCCTGGCCCCGGCCCCGGCCTCCCCGATGCAACCACCCTGCCTCCCTCCTCCCCCGAGGGCTTGTTGTCAGGGCGGCCGAGGAAACTATAAGGGACGTGAGGGTCTTGAAGGGGAAGGCCCGCAGCCGGACCGACCGACCGGCCGGGCCGCCAGGCGAAGCGCAAGTTGTTTGAGGCGAGAGGCGAGACCGAGAGAGATGAGGGCGAGGGCGGCGCGCTGAGGGCGGGGGAGAGTGGGAGTGGGAGAAAGCCTGGAGACGCGCCGCCCGCCTCGCCTTGCCCAGTCCGAGAAGCGCTGGCGGAGATTCAGAGCACCGTAAATCCAGGGCCGTGGTCATTGCAGCCCCAGCAGTGGGCCACCACTGGGCCACCAATGGGCCACCAGGCATCTGGACTGTCCCTTACCGCGGCCGGGGCAGGCCAGCAGCGCACCGGCTGCCGCGGTCGCATTTTTCTAGTGTGACTAGTGTGTGTGTGTGTGTGTGTGTGTGTGTGTGTGTGTGTGTGTGTGTGTGTGTGTGTGTGTGTGTGAGCGAGTGAAAGAGAGAGAGAGAATCGCTGTGTGTGTGACCTTACGTGTGGGCCGCTTCCCTTCCTTTTGCGCGTCGTACAGCGTGAGAATCTATTTCCTCCCATCTGCCGCGCGGGCTTTTCATTCCTCTCCTTAACTCTCTCTCTCTCTCTCTCTCTCTCTCTCTCTCTCTCTCTCTCTCTCTCTCTCTCTCTCTCTCTCTCTCTCTCTCTCTCTCTCTCTCCCTTCCCCATTCAGCTGGGCCGGCCTTGGGTGGCGCGGCGCACATTCGTTCCGATTTATTAAAAGGGGTGTCCCTCCTCGCAAAATGAGTGCGGCCGAGCGGTCTATGGCTTCCCGCTGCACCGGGCTCACTCCGAAGGGCGGCCCTCTCTCTCTCGCACCCGCCGCGGAACGCCGCACGGCCCCGCGGAGTGCGAGGGAGACGCCGTCCGTTCCGGTTAGGAGAGCCCCCGGCTGAGCCTCGGCGGCCTGGAGCGGCTGGAGCGGCTGGAGCGGCCTGGCGCTACGCGGCCGTGAGGCCCTGGAGCCGCGGCATGGCCTCGGAGCCCACGGCCTAAGCCTCGAGACGGCGGCGCGGTAAAGACTATCTACGCACCGCACTGCAGCGCCTGGCAGCACCACGCGGCCAATGGGAGAGGAGCAGGCCGGAAAGACGCAGTCTGCGGACGGACGGACAGACAGACAGACAGACAGACAGACAGACAGACAGACAGACAGACAGACAGACAGACAGACAGACACGCCACCGACTTTGCTGGCGGACGGCCGAAACGGGCATGCATGGGCATGGCACTGCACTGGTTGAGGCGGCAGCGCTCATAGCGCGGACTGAATCGATTGCCCTCGCAAGCGGAACGAGAGAGAGAGAGAGAGAGAGAGAGAGAGAGAGAGAGGAGAGAGAGAGAGAGAGAGAGAGAGAGAGAGAGAGAGAGAGAGAGAGAGAGAGAGAGGACGGCGCCGGCCGTTTCACACCCGATACCCTACCCAGTGTAACGGGCACGGGCCCGCTCAGCCGGGGATTAACGCGGCCAAAAAATAACTCAATAAAGAATGACAAGCAAACGAGAGAATCAAGGGAGAGCGAGCCACACGCTAGGAAACAAAAGCGAACAGGAGCCGTGCTTTTTGAGACGCGCTTGGATGGGAGTCGAACCGCAGTCAGCTTCTTGACAAGTAGATGACTGAGATAGGGTCGAACTCTGACGGCGACCATGGTCCCCCAGGGGGGCATTCCTGCGGCTGGACGTAGTAATCAGGCAAGCCACAACGGGCAGCGTCCGGTGCCGGTGCTCCGTGCCCGGTCCACTGCCCGTCCCGGACTTGCAATTTACTTTCCGAGTTGCCGGGGGGCGACGCCGGGCCCTCGGCCTGGCCTGCACACCGCAAGTCCTCCCCGTCCCCCTGTAGGCCCTGGGCGCCGCCGTGCCCGAGTTCCCTCCCCCTCCCCTCCACGCCGAGGGACTCGATCGCCTTCTTGACCGCGCAGTCCGGCCTCTGTCCGTCTTGGGCCTTCCGGCCGGCCAGAGGTGCCCGAGGTGCACACTGCTAATTGCCCGGGACACGCCGTCACGCCGGGGCAGCGGAAAAACAAGGTCAAACTAGACAACCCTCGCAGTTTCTCATACCCGTGTATGCCTGAGGGACACGGGGAGCGGAAATAGCGTGGCAGATTCGCCATCGGCTGGTTGTCTGCCGCGGCCTTGCGCGGCCTGCCACGGCCTCGACGTGCCTCTGACGTTGACGTCTGACGTTGGGCACGCTGGGCTGATCAGACGCGGGGGGAAGCTGCAGCCTAGCCGAGCCTAGCAGCCCCGTCACCCCGAACAGCGCCCCGCCGGGATATCGCCCGGAATATCGCCCTGAATATCGCCCCACTGTCGGGCAGGTCCGCCTCGCTGCTCTTCCTGATGGTAATTGGTCCACTGCGAGACAGCCAGACAGGCAGGGAGATGGTGGCCCCTGGCATGCTCGGCCTGCCTGGCCTACCAGCAGACTGATCCAGAGAGTCGTCGCTCTGTCTCTCCCGCACCCACACGGGGCGCCCATGAACGTGAGGAAGACGGAGCGATGAAAACGACTCTCGGATTCGGTCTGCTGGCCTGGCCGGCCCAGTCGGACCGCCTTGCCGTGATGACGAGAAGACGAGTGGCAGCGGCGGCAGCGCTTTCCGAGTGCCGGTCCGTGTCTCATTCATTATTGACGTGCCCCGACCCGGCCCGACCCGCCCCGGTGTGTCACAGAGTGTCAGTGTGCCACAGAGAGAGAGAGGCACAGATGTTTCCTCTGAAGCGCGGCGCGCTGGAACCTCGACCCGTCATCCTCTCACACTCGCATCTTTTTCCCTCGCTGGTGGCCAAAGTGCGTTCCATTCACTCTTTCTAACGGCCTTCTTTCTCCTGTTTGCAGTTAACTTCGACCACTTCCAGATCCTCCGCGCCATCGGCAAGGGCAGCTTCGGCAAGGTGAGTGAGGTGCCGTGGCGCGCCGTGCCTCCTCGCTGTGCAAACCGCGGGGCCAACCACGCCCCCGTGGCCAATCCAGAGGGTTGCCTCTGCAGCCGCCGTGCCGAGTGTCGGCGTGTCGCGGCCGACGCTTGCTTTGCATCTATTTTGCAGTGGCACGCTGGCTCCCTCTCTCTCTCGCACTCATCTCCAGCAGAGGCGCGAGTGAGACGGAGCGACACAGCAGGCAAGGAGACCGGCGCGGGCGGCCAAAAAACTCTAGACGCGTTTTGAGCTCCAGAGTCGTTAAACAGGACGCGAACTGAACGTGTGACCCCACCGATGGATTCCTTGTTCGGAGAGCGACCCATTGGTGGGGTCACACGTTCGGTTCGAGTCCCATTTGGCGACTCTGGAGCTCGAATAACGCGTCCGGGTTTTGACCGCCTCCGCCGGTCCTCTGGCCCACTGTGTGGCCCCACGAGCAGCGCGTTTAAGGTTACCAACCATCGCCAGCCGGCGGAGCGAAACAGCCAGATTCGTCTCAATTTATGGGACGGCCGCCATCTGAACGGTGGCGCGTGGGGCAGCCATGCCTTGGACTCCACACTCCTGCCTCCCCCTCCCCCTTCCCGGGCGCTACAAATCAAAAAGGTGCCGGATCCCGCCCCAAGAGTGGTATCCTTAAGGTTGTTTTTGCTCTCTTCCCTTTGCTCTTTTTTCCTCGTCGTTTTTTTGGCAACCCCGTATCGGACCGCAAGGATATAGGAATGTGATAGCAACGACAGGCGCGCTGTGTGTGTGTGTGTGTGTGTGTGTGTGTGTGTGTGGTGTGTGTGTTGGGGATGGCTGTGACTAGGCGAGGATGCCCATTGACTTGCATACAAGGGTTGCCCTGCCCCACGGCCCCAAGGGGCGGGACCCGGGACCCACCACACAGGACGGCGTCCCGACCCGTGTCTGTGACCGCCGACACGACCTGTCTTTTCCGCAGTGGCGTGGCCTGCGCTCGCCTTACGATGCACACCATGCATAGGAAGGGGAGACCTTCCCTCGGCCCTTTCTATCAAAAACGCTCAGTCCATGCGACCTCGATCCGCAGTTTCACCAAAATCCCGTAAGAGATGAAGAGTGTCATTTGGACGGGTTGCCCGCCGAGGCCCGTTTCGTCGGTGCGTTTTTCGTCAGCGTGCGTGGCGAGGCCCCGCAGTGTGCACGTCACTGCCGCCTGGCCGTGGCGGGGACGGCGGGGACGTCGGGGACACTGTTGACCCGCGCCCTTGGACCCCGGGCGGCCCTTTCTCGGTACTCTGAATGGGGCTTGCGGCTTTCTGCGACGGCCGGGCTTCATTCTGTATTTCGGTAAAATATTGATGGAAAGTTAATAAGCAGCGGTCGGGCCTCTTAGCAGTGTGTGGGCAGGGCCTCTTTGGGCTGGCGGTTAAATAGACGGCGTGGCGCGGTGGCCCCCTGAATGTGTCCGACTGCAAGCAATGACGGTTTTGCGGTGTCGTGCCACATAGTTCCACATTGCCTCGGCCGCAGTGCTGACGAGCATCAAAACCTTTAGCGCTGCGAGAAACCCGCCGAGGACGAAAGTTCAAAAGCCTTTGGAGCGAGCTTTTGAGCGAGGCTCCCGAGTTTGAAGTAAAAAGTGCCGGAGAGGGGAGGGGAAATTCCGCACCCTTCATGCGGAGAAGCGGCCATAACTCTTAAAAAATGTACGATGAGGCCACATCCACTTCCAGCTCGAGTGCTTCCATTCACGCGGCGAGTAAAAAGTACGACGGCAGAGAGGAAGACCGGCGTGTACAGAGTGAAAGAGGGGGATGGAAAATAAACAGCGCGACGTTTCAGTGCGCGATGATGTTTGGATCAACAAGGAACTAGACGGGACGTCTGCGGTGGGCGGTGCACGTACAACAGACAATTGTTTTCTCAGCCGAGAGTAACCGTGGTAAATGATGGGCGCTCATTTCGTCTGCTGGGGCGCAGCGCCACTGGTTCCGCTGCTCGCCAACTATCCCCCGCCATGGCGACCCAGATTAAACAAGTCGACTTTATTTCTCCGTCTCGACGTCAAACTGGGCTCCTTCCTCGCCAACATTTTCATACGAATCTGCTGCTTTTTCTCGAGCTCGCGCGCCACCGTACCCCTTGCCTGCCCCTTCTCCTGAGATTCGTTCTGATGAAACAATTAAAAATTTAAGGACCTTCTGCTGCCGCCCTGCTGCCGCGCGTCTCGACAGCCCTCTCCGTCGGCACCTCCCGCTGCTCCTTGCCGACGCGAGTAATTTCCGTTTTAAAGCTCTCCGTCCTAGTAATTACAAAAGAGCCGGCTTGTCGCGGTGCAACAATCGGCAGACTCTCTCCCCCCCTCTCTCTTTAAATCCAGTCGACTGTTGATCTTCTTCCCCGATGCTTCGCTGCTCGTCGTCACACGATAAGAAGAAGTCCGTCGTGAAACTAGTCGCGTCGCCAGTCGGAACGCGCCAACGGTGTTTACTTCCGTTTCATCGCTCTTCTTTGCCGCCCATTATTTGGCGGGAAGCCGCCCCGCCCCGCCCCGCCCCGCCCCGCCCCGCCCCGCCCCGCCCCGCCCCGCCCCCCGCCCCGCCCCGCCCCGCCCCCCCCCGCCCCGCCCCGCCCCGCCCCGCCCCGCCACCAATCCTAAAAGGGGCGCCAACAACACCGCGTCAAAGTAAATCACTCCGCCGCGCGCTCCACGCCGCTCTACAACGTTTTACGACGCCCGGCTTACGCTTTCGGTGTAATTGCTGCGCTAGTCGCGGCGCCAGTGCTGCTCCAATGTATGAACGCTTTACACGCGGACCGCACTCCGGCAGACTGTGTCTCTCTCGCACCCGCAGAGCAATCCATTGGTGGGGTCACACGTTCGGTTCGAGTCCTGCTCAGCGACTCCGGAGCTCAAAACGCGTCTGGAGATTTGGCCACCTCCACCGGTCTTCTGGCCCACTGTGCAGTGACGCTGGAAGTGTGTCGCTGCGTCGCGCGGCGCCTCGGAGGGGCGTTGCTAACAAGGTGAGCGAGTATGCAACGTGCGCTCGCTCAGACGAAGCTCCACTCGGCTGGAAAACCTCCCTCTCCCTCCGACGCCCTGCCTTTAGCGACGCACACGTGAGAGAGCGACTCGTAAATCAATTTGATGCGTTTCCGCCTGGCGGGATTACACTTTAAAACGAGAGATGAAGGCCTTTAGGGCGTGGGGTAGTGCGCCTGCGCGCACAACGCACACAAATCGCTTTAAACCTTTGAGGCCACCACGCCACGCCAGGCGCGGCCACGGCACACGCGGATCAAGGGATTTGGCCGGGGCGTGGGCGTGGCGTAGCGTGGCGTGGCGTGGCGTGGCGTGAGCGCGTCGCGTCTGCCAAGTTTGACTGGCGGGGTTAGCGGAGTGATAAGGGTGACTGGGCGCTGAGGGGTGGGTGTCCGTCCGTGATGCACGCCCAGTGTTGCCAGAAAACTAGTGTGGTTGCCAGAGAGACGGAGCGACGGAAACGACTCTGGGACTCGCAGTGTGCTGGCGTGGCCGCCTCGTCGGCGACAGGGACGACAGGACAGGCCGCTGCCGCGCGTGGCGCGACCTTTCCAGTGGGGCGGACGCGGAACCGCGGAACGCGGTGCCCAAATGCCACGCGGGAGGGAAGGGCCTAAAAGTGGACCTTTTCAATTACGGCCTGAAAACGCCGTGCATTATTCATTCAAGACGCGACAGGGATTCGCGTGGGTTCGATACCGGGCGGCGGCCGGCCGACGCCGCCAGGGAAAAATCACGCAGTGGGGTGGCGGCGACCTTGGCCGCGACCTTGGCCAGGATCACGGGGATGATGACGTCATTGTCTGACGGCGAATTAATTAAGGCGGTGCAGGGACCTTGATACCCACCGTCTGAGACGGACGGGGCAAGGCGGACAGACGGACGGACGGACGGACAGGACGCCGAGACGGAGAAGGGCACGCGAAGCACCTTCATTGACAGGCAAATGGACAGGCTGGCAGACTTGCGGAGACAGGGCGGGGACACGCACACTCACGCACACGCACACCCACACACACGCACACACACCCACACGTCTATCTACCCCCCCACCCCCCTACCTACCCCTCACACACACTCAAACACACACACAGTACTCATTATTTTGTCTCCGCGCGTCACGGGTGCAGGGCGCAATATCCCAGCCAGTGTGGCGGCGGTGTCGTGTCTGAGAATGATATTCATTTGGCCCGTTCCTGGCATAGCCTACCTTCCTCGCCATCCCGGCTGCTGCTCCCTTGCCCAGGAGTGCGCCGCGACACAGTCCGACGACACGGCCGCGGAGTCCTCTCGCTCCGTTTGAATTGGTCCGGTACAGCGCCTCGAGGCTCGCGGACCTGCAGATCCATCCAGCCTCGTCCCATCCAGCTCGCGGGTAGAAAAAAAATATTGAAAAAGTACGGAACATGTCTGGTCAATGTTTTGCCCGGCCCGTCCTTGCCAGCCACGGAGGGTTCCCTACATGCTTTCAGTATCAGTTAACATGAGATCCAGAACCAGCACGGAATATATGCGTGCCCCATTTTCCGTACCCAACTACGGAGTAAATATTTTGCAGTGCTGTTTCACCCCTGCGGGACTGCCCATGAGTGCGAGGGAGACGGCGCCCTGTCCAGCTGGTGGCCGGTAGTGCCCCGATGGTAATATACGGATTGCGGGGTAATTAGCATGCTCTCTCTCCGTCCGGGTGAGGCAGCGGGGTCGCTTGTTTGCCAGTGGTCGACTTATTTAATCCGCAGTGCGGGAAATCCGATTAGAAAACACGCGTCTACTCGGAAACAACGAGGGATCCCCGGAACAGTCGATAACGATCAGCGCTTTCGAATCAACGGCTCTGCTTTGTTTGAGGATCTTTCGCGCTGCTCCGCCCCAAGAATCCTCTAATCCACGCGACCGGAGCGGCCCGTGCGTGCGGCCCCTGCGTGCGGCCCGTGACGGGTGATGTGCATTGCTGATGTGA